ATTCATTCTGTCTCCTGCAGTAATATTCACCGAGGGAAGTGGAAACTATAGTTTTTTCTTCTTCTCCTCTTATAATATCTTCTGATTCACTTCGTTGCGGGAACCAAGACAGTTACTCATGTCCCTGGGACGCGCCGGACTTCAATGTTCCGGTGTTTTCATGGTTGTATCTACTGTAGATCCTGGCTTACAGGAGTTGCAGCGGTTTTGGGAGGTTGTGGCGGGCATGTCCCATTAAAAAAAAAAAAGCAAGATGTGTTATTTGAATATCATTATGTCAGGTATTTTATTAATTGAGTCCAAAAATGAAGGAGGTTTATTGCATGATTTTGTAATGTTTTCTTCCTCATACCTCTTCCTTATAAGTGTGTTTAATTTATGAAGAAAACCATTTTTAATTTGGCTGCATTTTACGTGTTACCTCATATATTTTTTGTTTGGAAGACGCATGTCATACAAAAATGTAGAATTTCATTTTCATCACACAGTGGACGCAGTACTAACATTTTCCAAAATCATTTAAAAGTATTCTAGGAATCGACCCTTTATTTAGAAGCAATCACGGCCACTTTGTAACCAACTGCACTTGACTCTACGGTTGGCGCGGTGGCTGGGCAACCGGCGGTCGCGCAACGTGTCGCAGGCTCGGTTCCTGCACAGAACAACTCTTTGTGTGACCCACAGATTGTTATTCCGGGTTTGAGTGTCATGTGTATATAAAATTGTATGATAGTAAACGCACCAGTGGGACAGCGTTTTAAAAAAAATAAAAACAACATCCATAACATTTAAATAACTTTTTAATGTCAAAAACCTCTTTTCCCAGATGAAAGCCCGTGGCGAAGGTTTCGAGCGGTACTTCGAGAGCTACTTCGGTAACAACGGACCGCTAAACAAGAACAAACTGACGGAAAAGATCAGCAACCTTCGCTTCTTCAGGTCTACCAACGAAGCTGATGAGGTCAGGGAGAAGATTGACAACCTGGAGTATAAGAATGAGGCGCTTAAACATAGGTATTTATTATTATTAACATTGACTTTGCTGTTGCTAAACTATAGGCCTCCTCTCCTCAAGAGGGGTTTTGTTTTCATCTCCATACTTGGCTGGCGGGTTGGAGATCACGATCACAAAGTTCGGGTTGGAATGGACTATTACTACTCCTATAATATAGAAAGAAAGAAAAAAAACGATTTATTACGCCACGACACACAACTAGAATACAGGTACACACATAAAGCCCATGGTGAGTCGCAGCGCAAAAGGCTGGAGCTCAGCTTAATACTACGGCCCTGGCATGAAGGCCTTATAGAATAAATTCAGGCGGTACTTTTACGGAAATCCATGCTTTACTAACAACTGGGAAATATTCAGTATTTCGATTTAAAAACTTAAATTAATAATTATTAATAATGTAACTAGAGAATTGTATTGTGAACTTGATTGAAAAAGAGTAACCTATTGAGTTTCTTGATCGTTCTTCTCCATAGGAATCTACACCTTGGAATGAGCAATTAGCTTCACTTTTAATTTGATTGTTGACGTTCAAAATTGTCTTTCTGGTCTAATTGAAATAAATGACTTTGACTTTGACTAAAACTATAATCGGTTATTAGCTGTCACTTTTGTGATATCACGGGACGAAAATGGGTGGTGGTAAATGCGTTCCAATGTCGTGGTGGCTCGGAGGTTTATGACGCACTTCTCATACATGAGGGTGCTGGTTCGAAACCTACCAACGGCAAGTACCAATGTGACTTTTTCCCAGTCATATGTACTTTCTAAGATTATTTAGAGACCACTGATAAACGGTGAATGAAAACATCGTGAGGAAACCTGGGCTTATAATTTCTAATTATAAGTTTGTAATCGCCAACCCGCATTGAGCAAGCGTGTTGATTAATGCTCAAACCTTCTCCGTGTGAGAAGAGGCGTTGCTCAGCAGTGGGCATTTATAGGGTGTTGAAGATGAAATGCGTTCTAGTTTAACTTCACATGACTTATAAATGTAGAGTAAGTGATTGTTTTTGAATTCTTTTCCTTAGGTTCCCAATGGCCGAGCTCGGTATCAAAGTATTCGGTAACGAGATTTCCTACTGGAACGCTGAAGGCGACGAGGAGATCATGAAGTCACTGGCTAGACTCAACCCACAACTCAGAGTATTGGAGATATTGTCTGGAAAGGTAAGTCAAACTCGACCTTATAATAAAGGAGATGTAAGGTTCATTATATGATGATTAAAAGTGGTAACTGATATTACCAGTTAATGGTAGTTATGTCATGTGTCTCCATTTAATTACGGTGTGTTTAGAAACCTAGTCGAATTAAATTCTATAATTCATCCTGAATTACCTAACCTTCCTAGAATTTCACTTCAAGGGTATTTTCATTTAAACTAATCATTTTTTTCTAATTTGACTAAACTGTGCTAACGCAAGGACTTCTCAATCTCTCATAAAGAAAATGTTTATATCGTTTTTCTTTTTTTTTATTTCGCATTTATGAAACCTTACTCCATACGAAGATTTTCTCCTGTGTCGTGCGTGCGTTTACAAACATACAAGTTCACATACACATGACACCCAGACCCTTAGATTCGAAATCCAGGACAAAGTCAAAGACAAAAATGGAACAGTTGGCGCGGTGGTTGGGCAACTGGCATTCCCGCACAGAACAACTCTTTGTGTGGTCCACAAATTGTTGTTTCGGGTCTGGGTGTCATGTGTATGTGAACTTGTATGTTTGTAAACGCACCCACGACACACGAGAAAACCCTACTGTGAGGCAAAGTATAAAAAAAATTGTATTGAAAATGAAAAGTAGACTGTATTTGGATAACCTTTGTTAAGTAAAAATATAAATAAAAGACATTCTATCCTGACCCCAAAAAACTCCATATCAACACCAATCCTTTTTCACCACACACGAACTCAACTAAAACCTTCTTTACCCCACAGGAAATATCCTACAACAAAGCCTCACTATTCTTGGACACAACGTTCTCCGTGCCTACTGGCGCCGGACTACCGATGAACATGAACCTCATGGGCACCAGCTACGTCAACACCAAGATGTCTGGCACTGTGCTAGACAATTATAGGGAGTCTGGCAACTTGGACTTTGAAGGGAAATTGAGACCCAGGTGAGTTAAAATAGTTTCTGGTCGTCGATTTGCTCAGTACCAACCATTTTTGTTTTTTATTTTGTTAAAATGCATTGAAATCAAATCGAATAATTTATTTGCAAAAACATGTGTATATATTGCTAAAACTGTGGGAGAGCCATGCTTCGGCACGAATGGGCCGATTCGACTGGAGTGATACCACGGCCGAGCAGAAAACTGACGTGAAACAACGCATGCGTTGTGTTTCGTCGTGTGAGTGAGGTTACCGGAGGCCCAATTACCCCTAGTCTCCCGAATCCCCGAATCCTCCACAATCCTCAAATTCCCAATTCCCAAAAGGCCGGTAACGCACTTGTAACACCTCTGGTATTCCATGTGTCCATGGGCGACGCCAATGGCATCAGGTGATCCGTCTGCCCGTTTTTTAAAACTCAGTAATCGAACCCGAGACCTCTTGCCCAAGTCGCACTTGCGGCTACTCGGCCAATGAAGCAGTTCAAATCATTAACACATTTCTAGTAATCTCTGTAAATAATAATAATTACAAAATGTTAATTATCCATCCCCTTACAGCGTAGCAGTGAACATAGCAGCGACGATGAGCGTGGACGCGGGCGGGCTGAGCTCCAGCGGGATCCGCGTCAACTGGCGCCTGTACACCGCCACCGCCGTCGAGGCCAGGCTCACTGTCCGGGGGATCTCCTTGCTGAAGCTTGATCTATCACTGCCTATCGATAAACAGGAGATTTTTGCTGCCAAGTAAGTATTAGTATATTTACTGAAGCTTTAGGATACAATTATCGTTATTATCGAAATGCAGGAGTAGGAACAGGGTGGTTTTAGTCAGTGACAGTCTCACACTCTCTCCCGACTCACCTAGGCGGGAGAAGTCATTCGTTGAATTACCCCCTTAAAAAAAGCTATACAATTATCTAGCTAATATACTTTATAGTAAAAATAGTAAAAGAACTATCTTGCTAACTTATTCATATTTGCTAACTAACAAAGATGTGGAAATATCGATGAAGAGAACAAACTCTTCTAATACTCGTATTGTTGAAATTTAAATAGTATTTTTGTCTCTACGCTTTTTGACGGGTTTCTTTATCATTAAGTCACATCCCATGGGTTTATTTTAGTATGAAAAACGTTAATTTGTTTTTAATATTATACAGAATTGTAAAGTCATACAGTTATCATAATTATGAGAAAAATGCCCGTAGTATTATATCAACATTATTACTTTAGACTTCGATAATGGATTCGAAAATGTACAAAAGTAATTAAAACAACGTAACATAAATTCACGCTTTTCATCCCCGAAAGGGTAGGTGCACATTACGGCACAATGCCACTGTACATTGTAACACCCACTTTTCACTATTTATGTTATGAGTCCCATGTAACAGGGGGTGAGCCTATTGCTATATACCGGGCACAATTCCAGACTCCGTGCTACTACTGAGATTTTTTTAAACTCAGTAATACTTGCCCGACCCGTGAATCGAACCCAAGACCCCATACTTGGCTGGTCGCACTTGCGACCACTCGGCCAACTAGGCAGTCCACATTTTATTATTTCAACGACACTTTACTTTAATATGTGTCTCTTCCTCTCAGATCTGAGCTTATAATCCTCCACGGCGACAAGGAGCACCAGCAACAAGGACTGAACAAGAACAGAATAGAACAGAACACGTGCTCCTGGTCCACCTTCGACAAGTCTATCGGGATCAAGATGTGCGCTTCTTATCAGGTAAACTATCACTCTATGTTAAGATGGGGTCATAAAATGCGAAGCAAAATGACATTTGTGTTGTTTTGCTTAAGGACCATTATTCCAATGCATATCATACTTGTAGTGGGTAAGGCCAATAAATGCAAAGTAAAATAGCATTAATCCTATGTAGCACCAATGGTCTTTATAAGATTTTTTTTTGTTATTGTCCTGGCCAAATAGTCTATTTATCCATCCATCAACAGCCAATAAATGCCCACTACTGACTCCATGCTACTACTGATGTTTTTTTAAACCCAGCAATACTTTTCCCGACCTGGGTATCGAACCCAAGACCCCTTGTCGCACTTGCGACCACTCAGCTAATGAGACAGTCATCACACATAACCTTATAAAATCTAATTTACATAACTAAAATCATGCTTTCTCTTCCAGTTCCCCAACATGACGAATCTCCGCAACGCTCCATACTTCCTAATGAGTGGTCCAGCGAAGTACATCCTCTCCCTGGAGAAGGCGGACCCCACGGCCAAGACATACGCTATACAGTATCGATGGGACAAGAATGCAACAGGCAATGTTGTTAGCTTCTCGTTTGATACGCCTGATAGTAAGGTGAGTTGTGGGATTTTGTGTTTTATTTTAAATGGGGTAGAGGTTGTTTTTGTTTGATACTTGCTCAAAACTAGATAAAATAATTTATGGGATCTAATCAAACAATGGTGTCATGGCTATTTATTTATTATTCTTTATTATGCTATTGAGAATAACAATTTATTTTCGCTATAATTTTCTTCTTACTTATCACATTAAGTTTGGAGTTCTTTACTCACTTAAACCCAACATTTTATCCAGTATTAGCAAATAATCGGAATACTATAGGGGTGAGTGTGAGAGTGAGTGAGTGAAATAACGAACAACACTTAGCGGAAAAGTCAAAGTCAAAGCATTTATTCCAATTAAACCATAGTTTGGTACTTTTGAAACGTCAACAAATACAAAATAAATAATAGTCTGTCAGTGAAATTAGGTGTAGCTAGGTGCTCATTCCAAAACGTAGATTCGAATGGAGAAGAACGAGCAAAAAACTCCATTCGTTACTCTTTTTTAAAAAAGTATGTGAAACTCCACTTATATTGAAATAATTACATAAAGGAGCACAAAATAAACGATAGAAGACAGAACTTGCATGAGTATAACAAAGATAAAACCGTTACATATCAAATATAAATTAGTCGGCACGCGGCTCGACCGCGCATGCGCTCGGTTTAATAGATTTCGCGTCACTGAATAGAGCTGCGGCACGAGCGCGGACCTTACTACAGCTGTAGCCAAATGCCATTTAGCGCTTGTCTACATGTAGAATAGAAAACCAAATTATATAGAATTGACGTAAATTTTGACACTTATCAGTGTCATTCCCATACATTTAGTTTTCTACTCTCTCTGTAGACAACCGCCAAAGTGGCATTTGGCTAAAGGCATTGGTCTTACTAACGCGTACTATAAAGAAAGAAAGAAAGAAAGAAAAACCATTTATTTTGCTACGACACACAATAAGGATTTAGAAACACCGAAAAAAAGCCCATAGTGCGTCGCAGCGCAACACAATGTATTTTAATATTTTTATTAACACTATACTCCATCTTCAGCCAATCATATAATTAAACATTTATTTTCTATTCCAACAGGAAAAACGAATGATAAACGCGGTCCTATCGATCTCAAACACGTCTAGCACTGCGTTACTGACCCTCCAATCAGAGAAGAGCACTTTAAAAGCTAAAGCAATGTATAGAAACAAGCCTTACGATAAATCTCTATCGGCTAGTTTAGACGTGGATGGAAGGAAACAGTTCGACACTGTTATGTCAGTGAAACGTCATGATATTAAATATGGCTTCGTTTGGATACCTCACGCCTATTGGGTCGTCGATAATGAACGGGTTGCTGAGTTGTCTGGTGAGTTTTGAACCTTATCTTCTATAGTGTAGGGCCATATTTTGCATGAAGATTCTATTAGTACAAAGTGTTTTCTGCTAAGTTTTGATTTTGAATCTTATTTCTTGAGGTGTAGGATACTGTTTTGGCTGAATTGAAACTTTTATTCAATCATAAAGATTCTTTTAATAAATTCAATTTAATAAACCTTTTAATGGCTTCTTTAGCTTAGTCTAGTCCAAAAGAGATCGAACGAAAAAATATTGTTATGTTACAAAATTATTTATTGTTTTTGTACCTCTACATGATGCTATCTCTATCGTTTTAAAAGTTATTCCTTATAACAACATTTCTGAAAGTATTAAAAATTAAATGACTGCCTCGTTGGCCGAGAGGTCGCGAATGCGACTGCCGGGCAAGGGGTCTCGGGTTCGATTCCCGGGTCGGGCAAAATCTTACTGGATTTAAAATAAAAAACTCAGTGGTAGCACGGAGTCTGGAATTATGCCCGGTATATGGCAATAGGCTCACCCCCTATTACGTGGGACTCATAACATAAATAGTGAAAAGTGGGTGTTACTTCTGTGTGCACCTCTACCTATCCCTTCGGGGATAAGAGGCGTGATGTTATGTTATGTTGTTAAAAATTAAATGATATTTGAATGTCGAACATAATCCTTTACTTTTTTACTTATAGGTGTAATAAAAGTAAAAACAAAAGGCAGTGTGACACAGAGCGATATAGAAGCAGAGTTCCAAACGAAACAACTGGCCAGCCACCTCCTAGGGTACTACACCATCAACGGACCGACCCACGGCACCAAACTACAGTTCGATTACCAATTCTTTAAAAACCCAAAACAGACTATAAAGATTGAAGGTATTTACAGTGAGAAGTCTGGGGGCTTTAGACATGACCTCTATGGTGACTTGTCCATGGCATTCACAGCTTATCCGGAGTATAATTTCTATACGGTTCTGAGGAATATTGTGAGTATTTTGTACCCTATTTTGTTTGTTTTAAGAGTAATAATAGCAAATCAAATATGCAGAATTCATAAATGTGATGAATTATTAGCTACTTCCAGGCGGTTTCAATTTCTATGCTCGGCGAATATTAATCCGACACAAAAAGAATTTTTCAAATCGGACCAGTAGTTCCTGAGATTAGCGCGTTCAAACAAACAGACAAACGAACAAACAAACTCTTCAGCTTTATATATTATAAGTATAAGATAAGCTTATGGTGGCTCAAAAATTAGCTTATGGTGGCATAAGCTAATTTTTGCCATAAGCTAATTTTTGAGACATTCAAATTCCGTTTGCAATTTCGCTAGTCAAACGTGGAGAATATAGTAAACCACCTCTCCTAAGAGAAAGGCCTTTGTGATCAGCAATGAACGTTTTCCGATGATGATGGAGATAATAAGGGATAGCTTTCTAAGAACCTCCTTAAGGGGGGTGGCATTTGCTATACTCCAATAATCAGCAGTAATCATCTTCTAACTAATAATGATGATGATAAAAACCTTTCTAACATCGGCTAACCTTATTCTCCTTCACAGAAAACCCAATCCCACGTGGATATAGGTTTCAACGTAAGTGCGTCCAGAGAAAAGAAGCTTGATCCAGCGTTTACGTTTAGTTTCCAACGCGCTGAGCACTTGACTGGCATGAAACTCGATACAAGGCTGACGTTACATCGACCGAGGTTGATTGATACAAGGTTCCAGTTCGAAGGGGTAAGTACTAATAATAATAATAAGGCTCGATACAGAAGGCAGTTCTCCTAGAAACGGCACGTATCGTGAGGTTTCTGTCTCTGGAGCCGTAACCACCGGTAGCTTGGACCACAGTCACACTGGTCGGCTCCTATTCTTTTATATTTTTAAATATTATTTATTATTATGTAAGTAGTATTTAAAAATGTATTTTTTAGAGATTTTATTAATAAATCTAAGAACTGTACACTGTACTGTATTGGTAGAAGACAGTGTACGAAAATAAAAAATATAAACTGCCTCGTTGGAAGAGTGGTCGCAAGTACGACTGCCGGACAAGGGGAGACCCCTTGTCCGATGTTCGATTCCCGGGTCGGGCAAAGTATTACTGGATTTTTAAAAATCTCAGTAGTAGCACGGAGTCTGGAAATGTGCCCGGTATATGGCAATAGGCTCACCGCCATTTACATGGGACTCATAACATAAATAGTGAAAAGTGGGTGCTACATTGTACGGTGGTATAATGTGCACCTCTGACTACCCCTTCGGGAATAAAAGGCGTGATGTTATGTTATGTAATTAGTCCGCCAGTTAGATAATGAAAAAATATTAGACACGTATTTTTTTTATTTTGTTGTATAAGAAAACAATACTTAAATACAACGGAGTTAAGTTAGGGAGGTTGTTACGTCACGGTACCCTATAAAATGTCTCGCGGAGAACCTAACGATCGCGGAGAACCTAACGGGTAACCGGGGCTCCGGCTCGACGTGCAGGAGAAGGAACGGGGTGGTTTTTAGTCAGTAAGAGTCTGACACCCCCTCCCGCCTCACCCAGGCGGGAGCAGTCATTCGATGATTTTCCCCCCTTAAAAAAAAAATAAAAAAAAAAAACATATAAAATGTGCAAAGTCGTGACGTCATACGATATTTCAAATCAATATATCGCCGAAAGTATTTAATTTTGTAAGAAATGAATACGTGTCTAATGTTTTAAAATAATCTACCAGGCGGACATTAAAATAAAATTTAGGATACTACTCTATTCATGTCCCTGGGACGCGCCGGACTTCAGTGTTCCGGTGTTTTCGTGGTTGTATCTACTGTAGATCTTGGCTTACAGGAGTTGCAGCGGGTTTTGGGAGGTTGTGGCGGGCTTGTCGCAAAAAAATAAGTTAAATTATTTTTCGAAATATTATTATTAACTATTTGAATGTACGATTGGTGCTTTGCTGGGCGATTGGCTGCAACGTGTCACTGGTTCGATTCCTAAACTGAGAATTTCTTAAGTAATTCTTAAATTGTGTTTTCAAATGAATCAACGACACATGTATTTGCTAACTTGTCTTCTGCGTGATTAGCGGAGGCTATGCCATATGACTAGATGCTGTGTATGCTGTACAACGTGTCGTAGGTTCTATTCCTGCGTCGGGTTATTAACGAAGAATATTGGTATCACCCTTAGTGGGTTGTGAAAACAGATGGCAGTCGAGTGACATTAAAAATGTTATTGGGGAAATTTAGAATTACTATGTGAGCCACGAACAAAACGCGACTCCCGCCCCCTGCTATTATCATAGAAATTTCAAAAACCGAAAAAATACCCTATATTAATTACCCGACTCGGGAATCGAATCCGAAACCCTTGCCCAGGCGTCGCACTTGCGACCACTTACTCAACGAGGCAGCAAAGCCTCATATAAAACTGTTACCTGACCAGATATGGTCACTTCTTGAGAAACCACTAACCACTAACAAATTAAATAATAATAAACCCTCTTTTCCCAACAGATTGGTCCAAAATACACCGCACTAGCTCTTCTAAACTTCAACCCCAAATCGCGCGAGATTCTGGTCTCAGGGTACTTATTCTTCCCGCCGGGTACACAACTGTATTTAGACGCGGAACTTAACATGACACTACCGACCTTGCACCCTTGTTCTATAAAGACCAAGGTCCATGAGAAGCAGCCTAATGATTTCCAAGTGAGTACCTATCTTTAACAGTTGTTAAGCTGTTATACCCCAAAAGGGATAGAAAGTGTATATATCAGGTTTTTATAGATGGTTTATTAAGCTGTGCTGTGATGTCCCAAAGTAGGCAAGAGTGAATAGTTTTATTAGTCCCATTTTTAGAATTGTCTTACTCCGTCTTCAAAATGGACATCAAATCGAAAACCCAATATAACATAACGATATTTTAATTAAATTCTAATCTGTTTTATTAGTTCCATTTTCAAACATCACAAGTTTAGACTCCGTCCTCTGCAGGGAGGCCAAAAAAATATGGCCTCATTGTTTTTCTTCGTAACGAACATTTGTACATCCATTATTCTATGGAGACCAACACCACAGTAAATTAAATAACGTGTTTTTCCTAATATCCTTTATAATAACAGCAATATTTTATGACAGAAATACTTCGATAAATTCCGTAGGAAAGTCCAGAATTATCACCGATTTTAGGCAAGCCCCTAGTTCCCTTGTAATAACGTTTAACTAAATCCCAGGTAAATGCAGCCGGCGTATGGTTCACGGGGGTAGATTTCAACATCGACGCGTCATACCAGGACCAGTCCAAAACAAATATGGCCTCCCATCATCTCAAGGCGTTGATCAGTAGCACCCACTTCAAGAACATCGCCATGGACGGACGGTTCACTCAGGATAACCGACAGATCACGTTTATTGGACAGGTAATGTTAAACAGACTGCCATCTGCTTACAACTCGCTATGGGCGATACTAATGGTTTGTAATAAGTGTGGGAGAGCCATGCTTCGACACGCATGGGCCGGCTCGACCGGAGTAATACCACGGCTTCACAGAAAACCGAAACAACGCTTGTTGTGTTTCGTCGTGTGAGTGAGGTTACCGGAGGCCCAATTACGCCCACTCCCCAGTCTCCCCAATTCCCGAATTCCCAATTCCCAAAAGGCCAGAAACGCCTCGGTGTTTCAGGTGTCTATGGGCGGCGACGATTACTCACCATCAGGTGATCCGTATGCTCGTTGACTGGCTTATACCATAAAAAAAATTGTTTTAGTTTCTGACTATTTTATAAGTATGTACTATTATTGCTTAAATACTCAAACACCACTATAAAAAGACAGAGATAGCACGATATTTATGTTCGACAACAAATTGAGTAGCCTTTCAGTATCCAGGCGTTTCATGTTCATTATGGGAACTGAAAAGTTGACAAATAACAACAAAAGAGTGGAGATTTTCAAAATACACTACACGTTCGTACACTTAATTAACTTAATTATTATGTTTTACGGATTTCGAACATAACTCGACTAGTTTCAAACCGCGCTAGGGGCTCATAGTCATGAGCATCATTGTCAAAAGACTTGTTAGACAAGTTTGAATTTTTCACAAAAGTTATAATACTAAATTACTTTGGCTAGCATAGTTTAATTTATATACTAAGTCAATTTTCTTTCATATTCCAATTTCATTAGCAGACCGATTCGATCTCCAAAAATGAAAGCTCAAGATGTTTCAACATTAACTAATCTAAAGTCCACCTTACCTCAACGGCAACACGATTAAAAATCAATTGTCTTATATTATAAACATAACTCCAAACCAAAATACACCTTATCCCTAACAAAATAGATAATAAAATTAATTTTTCGCAGGGAGAATACAACGACGAGCACTACAGAACATTAATACGCTACATTCTACTATCGGAGCAGAACTTCACGACGTATGTGGAAGTGGACGTCGGCGGGAAGGCGTATAGTGTCAATTTGAATGCGGATCTTAGCAATAATACTAACGTTAATATGGATATACATTTTGATCAGTAAGTTTTTTTGTAATTAGTAGACCGAATTTTTATAGCTCAGGCATCAAATTACCAAATTCTGAAGGTCATTAATTGATTTTCAACTTTAACACAAATACATAAGTTCGAAATTCTATTAATAGAAGACAGTTTAGGGTAGTTGATTGGTAAACTGTTTTAGTGATGACAAAGTCATGCTTTTCCTAATCACAGATGTTTTTCTTGTAAATTCTTAGTAATAAAACGAAATTATTTCAATGTAAAGCATATTTACATTACGTAAGTCACTTAGTCCAACATTTGCTCTTACTTTTACCAGAAATTATCTTATACTAGCGGCCCGTCCCGGCTTCGCACGGGGGGACTTAAGATTTTTTACATAAACGATTGTTATGGGTAAACTATAAAAGGTAGACATATGCTCTCGCGGACTTTTTTAAAAATAATGTTAAGATGAACAATTCATCTATAGAGCATTTTTGTATAACTTTAATTATATGCTCAGCGCACGCCACGGAAGGCCTCAGAAACGATACTTTTCCCCCGTTTTTAAAACATTTTTGGTTACTGCTCCACAACTATAGGACCTAGCGTGATATTATATAGCCTATGTTACTTCTGAATAATGCAGCCTTCTAATGGTGAAAAAATTATTGCAATCGGACCAGTAGTTTTTGAGTTTATTCATTACAAACATACAAAAATACAAATCTTTCCTCTTTATAATATTAGTATAGATTTGTTTGTAAATCGGTTTTATTTCGTTTGCCTTATTTTTTTTTCTTTTTTTACAAAAACGTTGCCCCACACTAGGATTTTCTCCTGTGTCGTGTGTGCGTTTACAAACATACAAGTTCACATACACATGACACCCAGACCCGGAACAACAATTTGTGGATCACACAAAGTGTTGTTCCGTGCGGGACTCGTACCCGCGTCACGTTGCACGGCAGCTAGTTGCCCAGCCACCGCACCAACCGTGCAGTCAACTGTTTATTTGTTCGAGTCAAAAATAATTAATATTTTACCCCCTTCCTAACGGCAGATCGATCTAATATTTGATACACAGTCTTGATGACCATATACTTCGATCAACATTAGCAAATAGATAAAAGGTTACGTACAAAATCAAACTCCAGTTCTGTCCGTGTGAATAATAATAGTAAAAAAATAACAAACAGAGAAAAATGTTTTAAAATGGTTTTAAGTTCAACCTAATAACAACCATGGCACCTAATATTAAAGTCATAAATCGCCAAAATATTATCTAATACTTACGACCATTCGTCATGTAAGACGAGAAAAGCATTTTCTTACTCCTGTCATGTAGAAATTAAAAGACATAAGTTATTCAATATCTAGTTTGAATACAACCTTAACCTAGAACAAATAAAGATACTTTTTCCGTTATTGCCTTGCGATGTTATATCGTTTTGTTTTGTTTCGTTTTGGTTTTTCGAATTTCGAATTTCACTACAGGAGGTATGTATGGAGTAGCGTTGAACACTAAAATAATTTTATAAATTATGAAAATTAATATTTCGGGATCTTAATATACATCATTTATTTTTATTAGCGGTACGTTTTTGTGTATGATATGTTTATTTACTTTATTATTAAAAGTTTAAGCCTAAGTCAAAATCATTTATTTTAGTTAGACCAGGAAGGCACTTTTGAACTTCAATAATATAAATTTAAAAGTGAACTATTTGCTCATTCCTAGGTGTAGATTCCTATGGAGAAGAACGAGCAAGAAACTCCATAGGTTAGGTACTCTTTTCCAATCAGGTTACAATACAATTTTATTTTACAATACAAATCGACTCCATGCATCCACTGTTCTGTTTAAACAAATGTTTGTGCGCGTGTTGGCGATGCTTGGCCAAGGGATCGCCAACACGCGCACAAACATTGGTGGTGTTGTTTTATAATTGGTAATTTTGTCTAATTTGATATTATTTACTAGTTTAAAAGCTTAAAATATAACGTATACTTTATGGACTTATCGTAAGTAAGACACTCCGGCCGTTATACTGCTTTTTCGGTTATTATTTTTGCAAATTGCAATTACGCACTGCGGCATCGTGAGACGTGAGCACGTTGGCCGTGTTTGGAGCGAACTAAACAAAATAAGAGCTCACTTGAGAAGTGAGCTCTTATTTGTCGAGACGATTTTCTTGCGCCGACCCGATATCTAGTTGTTATTGTTGATCGAAGACCATATACATTAAAACAGTTTAACATGAAACATGATTGTAATGTATTACTTGTTTCTTTTGCTCTAGACTTCGCGACCTCCACTTTTCCTACCAGCGTTGGGTGTCAGCTAGACAAAAGCGTCTAGCCGCTGCCTTCAATTGGGACGCTAACCGCGATCCTTCGCAAAAAGTCAGTATAGACGTACAACTGGACAATAAGGGCACTTGGCACCATGCAGGACATGTCTCCTTGTATTATCCTGGACGAATGGTCAATGGGGAGTTCGAGTTCTTGTTGAGAGGTAAATCTTTAAAAAATGAGGTTCTTAATTCGAGCGTATTATAATACACTAGCTACTTCCGCGCGGTTTCACCCGCTCTGTGCAGCTCCTATTGGTCATAGCGTGACGTTTAATAGCCTATAGCCTTCCTCGATAAATGTGCTATCCAGCACAAAAAGGATTATTCAAATAAGACTTGTAGTTCCGAAGATTAGCGCGTTCAAACAAAAAAACAAACTCTTCAGCTTTATAATATTAGTATAGATTGTACACCACCTTTACCCTTCCCGTGAACGTCGTTTGTTGACTAATGAACTACATATTATAATAGAGACCAGACAGCAACGCTCTGTGTTAAACCTTGAGATTTAACATAACTAACATCTCACCTTTTATCTCCGAAGGGTCAGCCAGAGGTGCACATTACGGCACCTAATGCCACTGTATCATGTAACACCCACTTTTCACTATTTATGTTATGAGTCCCATGTAATAGGGAATGAACCTATTGCCATATACTAGCCACATTTCCAGACTCCGTGCTACTACTGAGAATTAAAAAAAAAATGTCACTCGTAACACAAATAGCCGTAGTATGTATCTCTGCCTACCCATTCGGGGATAAAAGGTGTGATGATTATGTAATCTACAATCTTCAACACTCCTGTTAAGGGTAATAATCACAACAAATCCTTTTATGAAGAGAAAGTCTAGTAATAAAATATTTTCAATCTCCTGTCTAAAAATAAGTAGATATTTTATACAAGTTAGTAAAAATCCCTTCGTTCCAGATTGGTTCTGCCAATGGCACATCCGCATGGGTTGGTCGAGTGAGTCCAACATACTGTGGCGCGTCAAGATGTACTCGGAGGCGCACAATGAAACCGTATACGCTCTCCTCTCCAATATGAACACGCCCTTCGCTGGGTGGAAGGACACTAGTTTTAATGTTATGTGAGTATAAATATTTGCGATCTTCTTTTAACTCGTCGAGCACCGTTATTGTAGACACAATTAAAGAACAATAGGTTGCGGTCACCGGTGACCGCTTGGTGTTTGACAGTTTAAAGCTTCTTTCCAAGTTAGGGTGAACATTTACTTATCTTTCGTTTTAATTATAATGTTTGCGACTTACGTAACTGTTTGACGTGGAACTTGACTAGTTTCAAGCCATGCTAGAGGCTCATATTCATGAGCAGCATTCCGCGACTCGCGACGCGGTGACTGTCGCGCTACCAGTAATGCGCGAGTCAAGTTCCTCGTCAAACAGTTATGTGAGTAAACCGAAAACATAATAATTAATTAGTATGTCTTAGGAAAGATTTAATATAAACATACATTTGGTTTTTTTTAAATGGTCCGAATGTTTCTTATTGAGGTGGCCTCTGCTTTAAGTATTTTTGTCAGTCGCAATGAAGCTTACAGTCTGCCTGATAGATATAGGTTTACTTACAATACCAGAAGTATTACAAATTCGCTGTGGATCTTGAAAGAAACTGTAAATTTTATTACAAAATTTTATTTGTTTTGACTTCAATGCCTTAATACTCCTTCCTTTATACATATATCGTACCGAAAATTTGTTCATACAAAAGTAGTCTCTAAATATCGAAAATAAGGTCTACAATGGAGTTAGTGGAGAACGGTCACCGGTGCCGGTAACCGCTTGGGGATTGAGCAGTTAAATCAAGAATCATTTTGGCCACTCCGTCATCGTTCTACTCTTATTAGTCACTTGAGATCACACAAACAAAACGAAAAAATTAGTCCAATTTACATTCAAGCAACAAGACCAATTTATATTTGTAACATCTTCTTCTTCTTCATCACGAAACAAAATCTCCTTCTCTAGGTGGCGATACCACGACAATCTCCAAGCCCTAAACGGCAGCATGAACTGGCAGGAAGACTACCTAGCATTCAGCTTACTAGCAGACTACTTGTTCAAAACAAATGAGTTCTATGGAGAAATCAACGCCGTCGTCAACTCTACTATACCGACACTGCCCAAGGCGGCCGCCATAGCCAAACATAGGGTTATATGGAAGAAGAGCGCCGACACACTGCTTAGTTTCCAGGTAAGAGTGCTAAAATGAACTGTATTACTATGAATCGAGGGTCTAATTTCGAATTATGATATTAACTGCCGACAGAAAACTATTGAAGGCAAATCCTCCGCTAACGTAGGTCACCTAACGTGTTAAAATCGGTTTTTATGTAGAAAAGCGAACCGTATTACAAAGGAACTTAGGTTGCAATAGGATTATAAGGAAGAGGATCACTTATACAGTGCTTAGTTTCCAGGTAAGTGAAAGTTAATTCTATTATCAACGTTTGAAGGTTGAAATTCCAATAACTTGTTTGCTGTCTCGGTGGACAAATGGACAGTATTGTTAACAACGCAAGGACTAATTACCGAAAAGAGCCACTTTAGCTAGCCAAGCGTACGCTCGGAAGAAATTGTTCCATACTACGTAGCCAGTGCCCTTAGCCAAACGCCACTTTAGCGCTTGTCAACAGAGAGAATAGAAAACTAAATGTATGGGGATGACACTGACAAGTGTCAAAATTTACGTCAATCCCATATAATTTGGTTTTCTATTCTACATGTAGACAAGCGCTAAATGGCATTAGGCTACAGCTGTTGGCCCGCCGTCAGCGGGCGTGCAAAGCGTGTACAGGGGGGCGGCAAATCGAGCGACTAATTACCTACTATTCAAAATAATTGTCCAGAGTAAGCAGAAAGCATAAGAAATATAATCGCCGGGAAAACCCCACTCGACGCAAGCAATATTAGCGTTATGACTATTTATCGTCATCAGTTAAGAATAAGACTAAGATACAATACCAAGCTTGAAATCACCCGAAATTTTTTCCCCGCCTGCTCCCGTTCAGTGGCTTCCCCGATTCTATACAAGTCGAAACCGCTGAATGGCACTAAGACCCAAATCCGATACAAGAACTCCTCAAAGCTTACTTTTTGCCGCCCTATACCAATTGGGAGCGTGTGGCGCAAATTGTATACAAGTATCCTTAATCGGTTTCTGTAAAACGTAAGACTGGTAAAATAAGGATAATCTACTACTCGCCGCCCACTCCTGGTTGATAGCGCTCCAAAATTCCTTCTGAGATTACGTTTTGGCGCCCTATACCGGTCAGTGGCGCCCTAAATTGTTGCCTTGCTGGAGGGTGTGTTGGGTTGTCATGTGAGTACTGAGGCCCTGCCCTTGAGCAAGTATTGGCAGGCATGGGGTGGTCTTTAGTTCGTAAGAGTTGTAAGAGTCACTTGCTCAATAGACATTTAATGACTTTTAACCCACTCAATAAAAATGGGGGCGGCATAATCGGTATTTGCAAACCGGCGCTCGAATAACTAGCGGCGACCTCTCAGGTAAGCTAATTAAAACTAAACTTTCTTGTCAAAGTACAAAGCTTCAAATTACTTTGACATGATAAAGTTTCTATAGCAGTCATTTAAAAGTACGTAAGTTTACGTAGCAATGCAAATGAAACGCAGGTAAGTAATAATAATCAGTAATAATCTAAGAAAAATAAAAAAACAAATAAAAATACATTACAGAAGTTTTATTTACCCTTTTTAAATACATGCTATGAGTGTAATCATTACTAACTCACTATTGTACATATTGACTTTCTACTTTATTTCCTTTGCAATAGGATTGAAAATGTTTTAAAGTGGACAGATTAGGGAAATTTGATGAGGTCGTGTGCATTCCGTGTATACATTTTCGTTTATCTCAAATACATAAAATAGATACAGTTGCAGATCTATAATTGTTACATCTTTATACACCAATACAGTTACATTATAATATGAAGCTAAATAGTTTTAATCAAATGTCACTCTAATAATAATAGTGAAAGAAAAGGATGGGCATTCGTCCTAAAAACAAAATGTGATATACCTAGTACCTACACCTAAAATGAATTTACTAATAATTAATTTGAAGAGTAGAAGGCACTTGTCTCACCGCCGACAAGAAATCAATTGACTATCGGCTTTTTTATCGCTCAAGAAACGTGTAAGATATACATTCCGTGTAAACTAAAGAGATGCATATACAAATAGTTGGCCGCCGACTATTCACAATGCCGGCGAGCACTCGCAAGGGCAAGTATTGGACCTATACCTATACGCACTCACTTCCCGCGGGTCCCCAACTCGTTTCTAGCTTACTCGTTCATCGTTGCCGTTGAGACAACTGCCTAATATACTAAAAGGTATTCAAAATTGTTGCCATCCCTTTCTTTCTTTTATTAATCTAAAAGAGAAACATTTGAATTTGAATTCTAAGCTAAAATAAAAAGTGCTAACACTAACTATAGATTCTAACTGTAGGAAATTTTAAACTTTGGAAGCATTTGCTAATTGTAATAACAATGTTCTTACAAGCAAAATAAGATATTTATGAAATCGTATACCTAAAACTTAGAACTAAGAGTACATAACCATAGAATATTTGTTACGTTAACCATACTTCGAATTTTAACTTTTACACATATATTACACAATATTTTAAAGAAGCCCATGATGTCTGTAGGAGTCTAAAATATATTATTACACAAATCCTAACTATTGTTACAAGGTACTGAGTACTAACTAACAATAGCACATTTATAAACTAGTAGAGATTTACTTATTTCTGTTGATAGCAGACAATACTCTTCTCCAAAAGAACAAGTCAAAGATTTATTATTATGTTTTTTAGCTTATTTGATGATACGACACGACGCTGCGACTGTCGCGCTGCTACTAGCGCGGTAGTAACGCTACAGTCGACACAGTATGCTGCTCATGAATATGAGTCTCTAGTTTAGCTTCAAACTAGTCCAGTTCGTTGTCAAACAGTTACATGAATAAGCCGAAAAACATAATAATTAATCCAACTCCAAAGAGTTCAGTAGGTGATCTTTGAACAAGTCCTCAAATAAAGATCTTTAGAGTTTTAGTCAGTGCCGGATTAAGCCAGCGCGGGGCCTGTAGCAAATTCTGTCTAAGGGCCCTTGGTTTGCTATCGGTTCTCATTTGGGCATTGAGTAAATTTGGTGCCTTTCTTTTTTCTGGCGTCAGTCGATGATTTATGGAAGATATTGTCTGGAATGATATCACAAACGAAATTGTCCCCATATACATATATGAAAGTGAGCCCATAGGGCTCATGTATGGAAATCTCAGTCTGGACTGAGTTATGAGCGTTGAAAGGAGCTGAAGTCAAACATTTTACTTTGGTTTTTTTTATTCAAATCTTATATCTTATACCATTATCTTATATACTATTATATAAAGCGGATGAGTTTGTTTGTTTGTTTGTTTGAATAACTAATCTAATCTCCGTAACTACAAGTCTGATTTGAATAATTCTTTTTGTGTTGGATAGTGCATTTATCGAGGATGGCTATACGCTATAAAACATCACGCTACGACCAATAGGAGCCGAGCAGAGCGTGTGAAACCGCGCGGAAGTAGCTAGTTATTCATATTTTTGTCACAATTCCCAACTTTAAATTGCGTGCAACTGTACGTCGCGACGTACAGTTGCACGCGTCGGGCGCAGGAATACCATATCACACCACAATATATTCATATTGCCAGGCACTAATTTTTATTACCTATTTTCTCTCAGTCGATAACTTGTGGGATGCTTCTAGGAGTTGTGTCATGAAGCTTCATGAGCGTCAGCTATGTTACCAGTGGTGGGTTGAGCGGTGGTAGCCGTGCGAACATCTAATAAAGTGTATTTTGTTTTGCCATTGACTCCTGGTGGGAGACTCATCTACTTTATAGTTCGCATAATCTTTTGTAGAAAGGAAACCGTCGACTTTGTAAAGTGATATACGTCAGATGAGCGTATATTTTTTTTTTCATATAATGTGATCAGTCGAAATATAGTCCATCACTTTGTGACTGAATGACGATATCTTTGTACAGAATCTTATGCTAGCTCTAGATTAGAGTATTAACTGTAGTTAAATTAGTGACTAATCGGGAGTAGGTCGGGAGAAGTAGACAGAAAAAAAATTTTTTCGTGTTTCGACGATTGCCACTACTCAATGCGCTACCGACGCCGCAGCTGACAAACATAGCATTTCGTGATAGGGCTCAGTAAAGTATTTTGCGGGTTTTCGACTGAGAGGGTATTGAAACTTACATGAAAATCTGTCATAGGCCATAAACCGTATACATAGGTATAAAGTGAACACGCTAGCCAAGCAATCGAAATGTTTTTTTTTTCTTGAGCAGTGGCCAGTTAAAGACTCTGTTTTGATTCCCTTGCGAGTACTTGCGAGTTTCAAAATATGCAGCTTAAATTGCTGTTTCTTTAGATTGCGTTGACATAGAAGTTTGATTTTGTTACAGCTTAAAGGTATTATAGACCTGAGTATTTGGTATGAATTTCAATTTAATACCTCTACGCGTTTATGAGGAAATGGGTAGTAAGTTTAAAATTATTAAAAAAATATATATTATGTGATGTAACTAAAAATTTATGGTTTTCGTAATTTTTCCTTTATCTATGCTATAAGACGTTGCTTCGTACCAAATTTCAAGATTCTGAGTTCACGGGAAGCACCCTGTAGGTTTTGATTCCCTTGCAAGTGTCGAAAATTTGCGGCATAAACGGCTGTATCTTTTGATTGCGTTGGCTTAGAAGTTTGATTTTTTCACAGCTTCAAGGGACAGTAGACCTGAGTAATTGATATAAATTGATATAAGCTTCATACCTCCACGCGTTCCTGAGAAAAAGAGTCTTGACAGACGGACGGACGGACGGACAGACGGACAACAAAGTGATCCTATAAGGGTTCCGTTTTTTCCATTTGAGGTACGGAACCCTAAAAAGAAGTCCACTATAAGCTTTACTATATTCCTTGAAATCGTTTATAAACATTTATTACAAAATATTTCTGACAAGTAAATGAAGAAATATGCGTTGTGTACGGTCACCATCAACAAAATAACAGGAATAATATAGCACTATTTTCACATCTTTGAACTGATTTAACTCGGTTTGGACTGTGTTTTTGATATAAGACCCCATATATTTTTTTGTTTGTAATGTTATTCTGCATCAGTTTTTACACATCCAATAAACTGCCGCGAAAAATAAAAAGGCACCACGCTCCATACAAATTTGGTCATTGTCATTTAGGGTATTATTACATAAAACAAAACTGTTACAAATAAACTTTTCTGGATTTGTTATGGGCAAATTTAGCGATTACATTTTCAATATCGACTTCTTTAAGCAAGTCATGCTCTATATTCAACATTGTGAAATGATTAAGACGTTCTTGGCCCATAGTGTTCCTTAATTAATTCATTTTTGATTCGTTCAAATCGGGCTCGGTTCGCCCGCCAATGGCACCAACCAAGCGAACAAATAGTCACTTTCCTTTTCTTACACATACAAAATACCAACTATTTGTCTTTTTTCGTTAATTTCGTTAAGAAAAAAAAATCAAATAACATGTAGGTTGGTAGTAGTTTTGTAAACAAAACATTTTCTTCATAAGTCTTGCTTTTGAAGTGGTGTAATTACGAAATACCTATTTGAGCGCGGGGCCCCCCAATCCGCGGGGCCCGTAGCATTTGCTACTCTTGCTACGTGGCTAATCCGGCACTGGTTTTAGTACAGATCTTCACTGATCAAAAGATCCTTGCTGATCTCTTATGCTAGTATCTTGAAGTTCAGCATTCCGTCTCATAGCCAAATGGTGACACACTTCAGTACTATCTATGCAATTCAAGTGTAACTTTATTTTGCATTGTGAATGCGCTTAAACACTTCAACTCGGTGTACAAAACTGCTTATTCTAAGGTGTTTTGTTATTATTTATTATTCTAATTGGTAGACATATTAAATCTAAACAAACATCTAGGACAAACATTGTTTCTATACAATTTGATAATAATATTACTGTGTAAATGATAGACAATGTTTTTTAACCTCTTGTCTGCGATATATGAGATAAAATAAAAAAACGCATTGTGTCTTGCATAGATCTATGCTCCATCATACCAGTGGTTAGTAATGTAGGTATTGAATCATTTTAGAATGAGTGTCCCGAGACTCATCTGTAATTGTGGCAATAGCTTTCAAAATTAACCCGTGGTATGCTGGAACATAGATCTATACGAGACAATATATTTTCTATTGTCTCATATAAGAGGTTTTATTAAGAATTTGTATTAGGAATAATCAAAATTGTATTATGAAGAATTTGATCTTCAGAAATAATGTATGTAGGTAGTTCCATGTTATTGGTGTAAATATGATAGGTAATAACAATCACCATTTTAGAACTTGTAGATATATGCTGTATTTGTATACACATCCAGATTATTATGAAGTTATGCTCACAGACACGTAAGTCCGTAGTTATACAATTGAGTGTTGGACAACTTGTATGCTCTAGCTGCCGTAACTACAATGTTATACAATTCATCAAAGCCAAACTACTTCAAAATTTGCTTTGATGCATAAATGTGAGTTTATTCCTCATTTTTTACTTAGATAATCTCTTAATTACGTTAATATGTTAACTATAACTCGATATGTTATAACATTACGAGTTACAGTACCTCTAACCTTAAACAAATACCATACAACATAAAGAAACAATCCTCTATAATAAAGTTAACTCAATTTAATAATAACAATGACAAATTACAAATATAATCTTAACAATATGCACGAGAAACTAAACCTAGAGTGTACTCCTTCACTTTCACTGTTACTTTAGCTTTGCCTAACTTTGTTGTGGCGGGACACAGCAAACTTAGGGAAAACTAAACATATCACATCAGGTAGCCACTTCATCATTTGTCGACTCGAACTCCAGCTTGACGTCATCGTTCAGCCCGTCGACATCAACCTCGTTCTCAGAAGCATTTAACATGTTCAGAGTAACTTGCCTCACAGGAATACTCGCATCCTCAAACGCCTTCTTCTTCAACGTAGTGCGTATTTGGTTGACCGTACGACCTTTGATATGCTGGCTCAAACTGTTCAGATCAACGGCAAAGCGATGCACGCAAGACCGTAGCATCTCAATCTCGTCGTCCGTCCACTTCCCACCAGGCTGAGAGTCCCCCATCGGATGTAATAGCTTCGTCATTTCAGCTAGCTTGTTGAATGCGGTACCCGCTTCACGAAATATTTCACTCACTTTTGCAGCGGAGTTGTTCATTGTTATTTAGTAAAATAACAACTTGATGGTATATCTCAATAGCGTTCAAGCTATTTTTAAACGGAAATCGATAGTAATTGTTAATATTTTACTGCGATTCAGCGGTCACAAACACAACCTCTAAATATTTTTATCAACTGACATTTTGTTTTATCTGTCATGCAAGTGTCAAATGTCAATGTCAAACGTGCTGCGAGCATTTGTCGTTGGTCGCGTTCCATATCCGTTGAGTTTTATTCAACATTGTTAACATTGTAATTTTAAAACTTTTTTATTTATTTAATTTTATCTTTGGCTTGTTTCATGAATAATAAGTTTTTTTTTATTATTATTTACTTAAAATTTTCTCCCTAGTATCGAATTTTCCGAGGTTTTTAAATAACCACTGTAATTTTGTTACAGTATAACGAAGATGGTCTGCTGATGATCAATTCCTCTTGGACACTGGATAGGGGGCACAAAGAGAACAATATCACTGGCAGAGTTACACTTCTTACACCGTTCCAAGTAAGTGCAATTTAATAGAACAACCACATGCCTGAAAGGGGTATACCGAAATGTAAAGATGTTGCCAGATTTTCAGATTGCATACTTATGTATAATTTCTCAAAGAGGGTAACAGGTTATCAATACCGTATAATAAGAGGTAGCCGTATTCTAAACTCCATATTTCCAAACCTTTTGTTATTTTACCTTAATCATAGAGAAGAAACTCAAACCAAATGATTAATTAATCTTTGACTGACCTAATCGATTCGAATCGACGTCCCAATATTTGGGACTACGTGTGTGGGAGAATGTGTGACAAAGTGTGGGAGAGCCATGCTTCGGCACGAATGGGCCGGCTCGACCGGAGTGATACCACGGCCTCACAGAAAACCGACGTGAAGCAACGCTTGCATTGTGTTTCGTCGCGTGAGTGAGGTTACCGGAGGCCCAATTTCCCTCCCCTTCCCCAATCTCCCCAATCCCTGAATCCCCAACAATCCTCAAACTCCTAATCCACAAATAGCCGGTAACGCACTTGTAACGCCTCTGGTATTCCAGGTGTCCATGGGCGACGCCGATTGCTTTCCATCACTTTCAATCATTATTACCGGCTTATGCCATAAAAAAAAAAAAAAAAAAAAACTAATTTACCAACACTTTAAAATATTGATATAATTAATAACATCATGCGAGGTTTTTCGATATGTACTCTGATACTAGTAATGTTTTTTCAGGGTTACAGAAAAGGTTTCCTACGTACAGCGTTCGTATTGGGCCATAAGCGAGACATCAATGGCATCACCTACCTCGACCTGGAAGAGAAAGTACTCAAGATTTACGTCAATGGTACGTATCAAAGGAAATAAACTACTACCTCTATTATTTGTTAGTTTGTTACCTCTGGTAAATAGAGCAACTTTAACAAATAGATAGACTCAATTAGACCTACAAGAATCAGTACATAAAGTCACAAACACATCACGAATTTCCACTCCCTTCCGACTACTATATTTAAAGACTATTTTCGCTCTAATTACATGATCTAGTCCACTCAAAGGGATTTATAGTTTCAATTCAAACTTGATGAGATGTATACTGTACTATGACTACTTTATTATAATGAATAAAGATATACATATTTCGAAAAGGACCGCACGGTTGGGCAGTGGCTTTCCAACCGGCTGCTGTGCATCGTGTCGCGGGTTCGATTCCCGCACGGAACAACACTTTGTGTGATTCACAAATTGTTGTTTCGAGTCTGGGTGTCATTGTGTATGTGAACTTGTATGTTTGTAAACGCACCCGCGACACAGGAGAAAATCCTAATGTGTGGCAATGTTGTTTTTTTTAATAAAAGAAAATAATAATATTTATTTTAATGCGGTTGTCCCACAGGGCACATGCGCCGCATCACAAACTGTATGCTAGTCGTGAACGTGACCAGTCCTATGGTGGAGTTCCCGCAAATGACGGCGCGGTTCGGCTTCGTGGAGGCAGACAGACATCTGGTGGCCATGGTCGTTACTACTAATTCTACTACAGGTCTGTATAGAGGCTAAATGGTTATTTTTTAAATCTTATTGTAAGGGATTTTTGTACACATTTTGTGACGATGTCAATCCCATCGTGCTTCTACATTGCATATGTATTTACAACTTAAAAAAAAACAACTTAGTCTACTTATCTATCCAATATAAAGGAATATATAATTTTCGCAGCTTCAGATGTAGGCCTAGCTAAAATGGTATTATTCTTTTTATTATTACCTTTTAACATTACGGCTTAAGGTTTACGTGAAATTATTTTTTTAATTTTAGAGCTAAAAATGGCAGATAATCATAGTAACAGAAGATTTAATTTAGGTCATAACATCACGCCTTTTATCCTCGAAGGGGCAGGCAGAGGTGTATATTACGGCACTTAATGCCACTGTACAATGTAACACCCATTTTTCACTATTTATGTTATGAGTCCCATGTAATAGGGGGTGAGATTTAATTGAGACTTCCTTTATAGAGTCTTTTAAGAAAAAGTACTTTTAGTTTTATAATAACTCAATTTCAGAGGATAAGAAAATACTATAATATGGTTTTCAGTTTTTTTTACTCCTTGCATACATCATATCTACTCCTAGCTACGTTTTAATTTTAACATGTATAATTCTTTTAAAGGCATCAATATAAATATCGTTTCCTTTCAGGCATTGAAGTATTCCTGAAACTGGTATCATTGCAAGATTTCCACGTGTTTGGACATGTTGCACTACCTATACAGTACCTCAACAGAGCTATGGTGATTGCTAAGAGAGCGCCAGAAGAGGTAATCTATTATTTGTTTTATTATAGGACATCACATTAAAAAAATATATATTATCTAGTCGGCTATGGCCAACGGTGGCGGATTGGCTCGACCGGAGCGATACCACGGCCTCACAGAAAACCGACGTAAAATAACGCCTGCGTTGTGTTTCGTCGTGTGAGTGACCCAATGACCCCCCTCCTCAGTCTCCCCCCTCCCCAGTCTCCCCAATCCCCGAATCCCCCACAATCCTCAAATTTCCAAGTTACAAAAGGGCGGTATCACACTTGTAACGCCTCTGGTGTTCCAGGTGTCCATGGGCAGCGTCTTTGTTTACCATCCGGTGATCTGTCGGGTCGTTTACAGGCTTATCCTATAAAAAAAATTGTCCATTTTTTATTTGTCGCCTATGCATAGACGACATCGAGTGGTTTTATTTTATTAACTAGATCCTATATTACTTTGCCCACTGAATATAATGAGCTTTGCGTAATAAAAATTTGATGTATGTGATTGACTAACTTTTTTTTTAGGTGGACTTCCGAGTAGGTTGGGGTAAAATGGACTTTGGATTCACCGGTATATGGCACTATCGGTCTCCTCTTAACTTCGTCTACCTATACAAATTATACACACCGCTTGAAGGATTTGAAGAGAACGGACTTGTATTGAAGAATATCTACGGTAATGGACTAGATACTGAGCTATCTATTCGTCTGTCTACGCACAAGGTAATTTGTTATTTTATTTTGTATTTGGTAAGGTTCAATTTCAAGTGCAACTTAGTAGTTGTTTGATAAAAGTTCTTCAAACAGTTTTGTCATTGTATAATCGACATTAAAGTGAAGTCGTGTACGGTTGAAAGTTGCTTGTCGTCATTGTTTCTGTCTAAAAGACAGTCGCGTCAATCAATTCTGAATTCTTATTTAATCTTGATTTTGAAATAAGAAATTTCAAAATCAAGATTTAAATACCACATATATATTTACCATATAATATATATTTATATACCATAAACATGCTAAACAAATATAAACTTTGCCACACAATTATTAAAGTCTAATTCTCTTTACAGTTCGGCATAGCAATTCTTCTAGAGGACAATGGAAAAGCGTTAATAGACGTGCTTCGCGAAAAGTTCCAACATGACACGAAGTCAACTTCAGACATGTTCATAGAGAACTTTGATACAAGGGCTCGAGTGGTTTTGGACACCCTGTATTATCCTACTATTACTTTCAATGCTCATCTTATGAAGGTATGTTGATTTTATTAAGTATATTTTTAGTACTGGGAAGTTCCGGCTTCATAAAATAAATAAATATAATAAATAATGTTTATTTGGTGTAAGAAGCCAGATTACAAAATAAATCTTATTATCGAAGGAAAGTAGTAAGTTTATATAAAACCTGAACTAGATACAAGCCTGTGTTTCAGGTTAAAAATGTGCTGACATACTCAAGTACAATTACATTGCTTATGCCGGAATACTGAAACGTTACTCAATTTTAAGTCGGGCGGTCAGTATTCGGGCGTTATAAAACTAAAAATTGATGGCTAAAATTAAATTAAGTCAGTATCTAAGTATAACAGGTGCGCCTGTATTGTACAGTCTACTAACTGACTAAGTCGTATGGGTGATGGGTGCTATTTCTTCTAGATCGGACTGACTGACTGACCATATGTCTGCCTTTCTATATAATCAAATAAGGTTAAATCTATACAGATACATAAAATTGAAGGACCTTTTGTAATATTAATACAACCGCATTTTACTACATGCATATAAACATACCAGAATAATTTTTTTTTTTTAGAATTTTTGTTTGTCTGTCTTTCTGTTTGTACTAACTTATCTCTGGAACGGCTAGACCGATTTAGACGAGTCTTTTATCGGCATGTAGCTAATGTACTAAGGAGTAACATAGGCTACTTTAATTTTGGATAATTGAATCACGAAAAATAGGATGTCCTAAAATTTATATTCCACGCTGACAAAGTCGTGAACAATAGCTAGTAATAAATAAAACTAAAGAATTCTACCTTTTATGCAGTGGATAATGCAAGAGATATAGATTTCTAGATTTCCTGAGTCTAGAAATAATCTACATTACATAATGCTTTTTAGCCGCTTTATGCATTATGAAAATTTTTATTTATAAAGAATTTCAGCAACATGTTATGTTATTACTAACGAAAAATTAAAATACTCCCGTAAAAATGGATGTTCTATTTACTTATAATAATTTTTACATCGTTTTCCAGTTCGTAGGTCCGGAAGAGGAAGATATATTAGAAGTGAATGCAACGCTACACTTACCGAATTTACCACCACTTGTGTTAACTGACGTCTTCGTGCTAGAGGTGAGGAAAATACTTAAATTAATAAATACATACTGCCTTGTTGGCCGAGTGATCGCGAGTGCGACTGCCGGGCAAGAGATCTCTGGTTCAATCCTCAGGTCGGGCAAAGTATTACTGGGTCTTTTTTAATCTCAGTAGTAGCATGGAGTCTGGAATTATGCCCAGTATATGGCAATAGGCTCACTCACCCTCTATTACATGGGACTCATAACTTAAATAGTTAAAAGTGGGTGTTACGTTTTACAGTGGCATTAAGTGCCGTAATGTGCATCTCTGCCTATATCCTTGGGGATAAAAGGCGTGATGTTATGTTAAGTTCTGGTAATTACGGCATAACACGCCATTTTCAAAATATATTATTCTGAGTCTTGAAAGCGTGTAAAGTTTTCATTCGGCTTAATAAAATGTAACAATGCGAAAAGTGCATTTTGGATTGAGTTCAATTCTCGCACGGAATCACTTTGAGTTTGATTATTGTTTATCATGCAAAAATGAACCTTATTCCCACAGGAATACACAGTGATGCGCAACACTCTGAACTTGGTGACTCCATTCCAAGCGGTGAAGGAATTGAAGTCAGTGTACACAGTCGACATTACATTGGGAGAGAAGATCAACGTCACCTGCCTCGTGTTGTTGTATAATGGAACTTATTGGCATGAGGTGAGAGTCTAAATTATAAAATTTCATGGTTACTGATAAATGAGTGATTATTTGGTTAACGAATATTCATAACTACTGCTCGTAGGAAATTTTAACCTGGTTAGCTCTTTGATTTTCAAACGGAAAAGTCAGTAATAGGGTATAGTTTCCAGGGTAAGAAAATTAAAAATCTAATTAGTCCGTCAGATAAATAATGAAAAAAATAATAAAGACACGTATTTTTTTATTTTCTCGTATAAAGTTACAATATTTAAATAACATGAAATCAAGTTTAGAAGTAGGAGGTAATTACGTCACAATGTGCTACATTTTGTAGCACGCTATGACATCACACAACATTTCAAATTAATATATCGTCGAAAGCATTTAATTTTGTGAGAAAAGAAAAAATACGTGTCTAATGTTTTAAAATAATCTACCAGACGGACATTAAAATAAAAATTAGGAAACTACCCTATTGTATTAGAGAAGCGGTTAATAAAACCTGAATGTTCAATTAAATGGACGCTCCTCAAGTTATTTTAAACGTCAAATCGTCATAAGTGACGATCGAACTTAAGTTCTTGGGTTAAATTCCCAAATACATACCAGACAGTATTCATCAGGTAATTAGAACAAGAATTAAAAGTGTGCCTAATGTTTGACATTAGTTTTAACATGGAACAAAACTTGAAAATAGTCGATTTCATTAATGAGTGGTCAGTAGAACAACTACCTAACTAGAAATATTCGTTTCAATTTGACTGCACGGTTGGTGCGGTGGCTGGGCAACCGGCTGCCGTGCAACGTGTGGCGGGTTCGATTCCCGCACTTCCGTGCGGGAATCGACACTTTGTGTTATCCACAATTATTGTTTCGGGTCTGGGTGTCATGTGTATGTGAACTTGTATGTTTGTAAAGGGACCCACAACACAGGAGATAATCCAAGTGAGGGGCAAGGTTTTTTTGTTAAAAAAATCTCAGTACAGGCTAAAACATTTTCTGAGTTTTTTCTGGGCTTAAAGACTAAGAGTAAATTACATATGAATCATATTTTTTTCTACGTTTTGGACTTTAGAAACTAAGACATACGACTCTTTCCCTGTTCAACCAAAATTCAACATGTATCTTTATCTCTCCACAGATATCGTACAAAATATTCTACGAATACGAATGTGGTGAAGACGACACGTACCAATCGTACGTAGCGTCTGTCGGTATAGCAACACCTCTGCCAGTACTGCCCGCGCTAGAGGCCAGAGTCGCTGCGAGACTCGAGGACGCCTTGTGGAAAATGAGCGCTGATATAGCCATGCCGTCTTTTACTATTACTGCTTTAGCTAGCTTAGAGGTGAGTTAAACAATATAGTTATTGGTTATATTCATGAGTGTGGTCCCATACCCCGTCCCCTTGTCGCGGAGAACCTAACGGGTAACCGGGGCTCCGGCTCGACGTGCAGGAGAAGGAACGGGGTGTTTTTTTTAGTCAGTAAGAGTCTGACAATCCCTCCCGCCTCACCCAGGCGCGAGAAGTCATTCGATAATTTTCCCGCCTTAAAAAAACCCCCGTCCCCTTCCCCAATCCCCATTAGGCATCCCCTATCTCCCAGCAGGCATTCCCCATACCCCATCCTTCATACCCAATCCCCATCGCTCATTCCTCATCCGTCATCCCCCCATCCGTCATCCCCAACCCCCCATCCTCCCATCTCCTAATCCCCATCCCCCATCGCCCATCTCCTATCCCCAATCTTCAAATCTCGAACCCCCAAAAGAACGGCAACGCACTTGTATTGGTCACCCATGTGCAGCGTCAATTGCTTACCATCACGTTATCCGCTAGCTCGTTTGTTAATCCAATAAAAAAATATTGGATTTTATTTGTAATGAATGAGAGTTCATTTTGTATTGATGTGTTTGGGCCGCGTGCTTGTACTAATTTATAGTACGAATTATTACAACTCTATGCCTTATCCAATTTTAATTACGACACAGAATGCCTTGCACAAAATGAACCTTTTAAATCTTTTTTTGCAGTTGGACGATCCATTCGTTGAAACTTCAGGCAGTTTGAACTTAACATCAGCGTATTTAGAGGACTACTTTATAAAGATGCAGTTCAAGAAAGACTTCTCAGATGTCGAGAATGTAGTCGGCGGCGGGATACAGATACAACAGGGCGATCAGAATAATTATGTAAGTGGTTTTAGATATTATTGCTTTTATGTTTACGCTGTTGGAAATCCGTTCATGTATTATTCTTGTTCGTGTTTTTTATGTGCCATTAAACACAATTTTTCTCATCTCACAGTTGTTCGCGGACGTAGTATGGCGGCCGGCCCCACACCGTCACATCCGTTTCAAGTCCCGCGGCGCGCTGGTCCCAGTACTGTCCCCTGCGGAACTCTCTCTGCTGTACAGCGAGGATATGTCGCGCACTCTCTCGGTAGACTTTAGCAGCGAAGACTATTACTACTCCTTGAAGGCAGACCAGACGCAGACCTCTGTTAGTGCTGCATTGAGTAGTCCACATAAGGGATTCAGGTGAGTTCGTCTTTATTTCATTCTTTTTATATTTGATGGGCCGACGTTTGACCAATATTTCGCCTGGTGGTAAGCAATGATGCGGTCTATAATGGAGCACGTCGACCCATAAGCAACCTATTCACTCGGGCCTTCAAGACACCTAGTTTATACTCTTCAGGAAATACAGGCTCTAGCAAAGATATTATAGGATTGAAACGAGTAGATGGATCGTCTGCGCATCGATTTTTTAATGTGCAACTAAATCAAAATAAAACTGCTTTTCATGACATTTTCAGAGCTATCAAAATCATAGGCGAATTCGAAGAGGACGACATTCGAGGATCGTTTGTGACAGACACCACAGAATACAGCATCAACGGAAAAGTACTGAATAGAAAACCTCTTGAAGTGAGTATTTTGTTATGATTGTTTTATAGTTACCTACTGTAGTTCCACTAATAATTGGGTAGTTTCCAGGATATCAAAATTAAAAATCTAATTAGTCCGTCCGTTAAATAAAAAAAATATTAGACACGTATTTTTTATTATCTCGTATTAAGTTGTCATACTTAGATAAAATGGCGCTAAGTTATGAGTGGGAGGTTGTTACCTCATAACGTGCTACTAAATGTGACACGCTGTGACGTCACACGATATTTCAAATTAATATATCGTCGAAAGTATTTAATTTTGTGAGAAAAGAAAAAATACGTGTTTAAAGTTTTAAATTAATGTAGCTGACGGATATTTAAATAAAATTTAGGAAACTTGAAACTACCCTATTATAAATATAAAAAATAATAGGTATTATAATGTTTTAGTGGAAATGTGAAAGTATTTGAGAATTTACTACTGAACTAAGGTCCTTTTTAGATAAATTTTTAATTCAGCTACATCTGGACTCGTGTAGATATATCATGAAACACGCTTTTCCATGACCTAATTGTGATCATCGTCAGCACGGTGACAAATGCGGGGTTCTTATTTAACTCTTCACAATTTTACTTGTTTTCCTTCCACAGATGTCTCTAACCCTAGTCCCAAAGGGCCAGGGCGACAATATAAACATCCGCATCAAGTACGAGAACTCCCCCACGGAGTACACTCTGTCGGCACACTTCGCGGGGCCTGTCGCCGCCACGCTACACGCTAAGGCGGAACTGGAGGGGAACTTCACTGATATTAATGTTAAAGTAAGTATTTTGTATGGAAATTTGGACTTTAAGTGAGTCGGGATTGTGCTTAGTTTCGATTGATGATGTATGTCATTTAATTTGTTGTATTATTGCAAAAAAAACTAATTCGTAGATCATTTTTCCTTGAATAAAGGTTTAAC